AATATTTCAAGCCCAGTCAGCACAACTGGATTAAGGGAATCGCCTCCCAAGGGGTCTCCTTTGAGGGGGACAGTGTTCGCTTGGCATGTCTGCTTCTAAATCAGTCGTCTTCATCCTCCAAGCAGCTCAGCTGTGGAGAGAGGGGGTCTTGCATGGGGACCCCTGGGTGGTGAGGAAGGTGTCGGTGGGATATGGGTTAACCATGATCCAGAAAGCTGGATAAGCCACATGCTGGTAACAGGGACTGAGCCTCACTTGCTCATTTACATGGTTGATGCTTATTGGTTATTTGGCCTGGCCCGTCAGTATTGAGAGTCACAGCCACACCTGTCAACCTCTGAGAGCTATGACATCTTCTCACACTGGAAGTACTGCAACTTCAGAATCCTAGAATGTCAGACCTAGACAGAGGTTCAACCCTCTCATTTTACAGATGCGTTAGCTGAGATGTAGACAGAGGAAGTAACTTGCCCACGGTCAGAGAGGTAGTGAGTGGCTATGTCATCTACTTCCTAGTCTCTTCTGCACCAGGCTGCCTCCTCCATATTTTTAAAGTTTCCTAATCAGGGACTTTAAAGGTTTGACAGGAGGGTCATTTCTAGCCTGAAGGAGGGAAGAAAGGAAGGAATCTTTGTGACATACATGTTAGTTATTGAAAAATAACGTTTTTATATCCCCTGCCACTTGCTAAAAATCAGGATCCTTTATCTCAGAGGGCAGGTCACCAAGTAACTAAATCATAGGACAGACTGGAATGGACAGCACCCAGAGAAAGCTTTAACAACAACAACAAAAATTCTATCATTTTGTTAATGACCAGATCCCGCAGTTTTAAAGATTTGGCGCAATCTCAGAAACGTTACTTTCCTTCCTTTCCTTGACCCCATTCCACTCACAAGTGAAAAAACAAACATGATGGGGACAAGTCCTCAGTTTTGCAGAGTTGACTTTTTTGGTGTGGCCAATCTCTTGGGTCTGTGCAGTGAAAAAAAAAATGTTTTTGGTGCCACAGACCTTAATTAATTTGCTCTTGTTAAATTCTAATAACTTGACCCACTGGAGCAGAGAACGTCCCATTTGTTTTCTGCGAGGCTCTGTCAGCCTCTCTGTGGGAGCAGACAGCGTCATTAGAGATGACGGAAGAGGAGGCAGGTGGAATGAGGGCATTCGATATAATCAGACCTCACTGAGGGGACACGGGTGAAGGAACCCAACACCTTCACGAAGAAGCCCTGCTCCACATAACAGCAGGCTCCGGATTATGTGAGGACACGGGGTCAGGTTCTCCAGGCTGTGACTGGACTCGGGTTTGAATAGCTGAGGCAACCTTGATTAAGTGAGTGCGATGAGCGGAGCCTACCGTGATCCAGCGCCTCCTCGCCCGTCCCTGATATTCAGGAGAACCTGTTCTCTTACATACACCACCTTACTCAGTCCGCTCGACAACCCTCTGAAGGTGGTATTATTACCCCATTTCACAGACAAAGAAGGGGACGCAGAGAGCTTTGCAGGGACCCTGGAAACGAGGCCAAGGTGGAACCTGCACCCACTGTTGTGGAGCTCATTTCCTCCTTCCTGAGCTGTCACTTGGTGGCTGAGAGACTGTCCCTGGACGGGGATGTGGAGTGTGGCAAGGACTCGCCTGCACCGCTAAGCCAGACCTGCCTCTTGGGGCTGTGGGGCCTGGCCTACAATCCGCTAAGTAAATCTGGTGCCAACTGTGGTCTCTGGTAATTCTGTGACTCTGAATGTCTAGTTGAGCTTAAAAATACAGACACCCCTGGTAGACTTTGAAGCTTCCTCCCGATTCTCCCTTCCAGAGAGCCTTTTGCAGCCACTGTGCAGTGTGTGTTTTCCCTCACCTGGGCAGAACATTGCAGAGGAGAAGTGACCGATACTTGGACTTCACCGTTAAAGCCACTGTCATCACTACCGGTCATCACCATCGTCAAAATCACCATCATCACAACTATCATGAGAATGTTTGTGCATCTCAGCCACTGCCTGTCACCTCCCTCGCCCTCCTGGAGATCACGTATTGCTCCCTTTTAAATTTTGTCTCCTGGCATTTTCACCTGTGGACAGCCTCTCCTAGAAACAGATGGAACTGAAAATCCTGCTCTGCTGCCTGAGTCAGCCTAAGACAAATCCTTCAGCCTCGGCATTCTACCATCTGGAAAATGGGAAGAATAATCCTTACCCTGGGGGCATGCTCTGAAACTGAACTAGCTCCAGTTATAATTAACAAAATGAGGGAGCAGTCTAAGCTATTTAAAGATGAGATAGCCTACGTGTAAATGTGTCTGACCCCTTTGGGAGGGCACCCAAAGCAATTAGAGTCCCTGTGCATTCCTCTCCCATTGGATGGATGTCTCTGAGCAGTCAACTGGCTTATCAGAGCAGAATGGGTAAATCATGGTGTGGTTGTGCATCTGGGAAATTGTTTTCTGAAAAGCTTAGAAGTTAGAAAAACAATGTGAAAACTTTTGATATTTAGCCCACCCTGCTTCTCCCAGAAATTGAGTCATGGCATGCCACATGTATATAAGAAGAGAAAGAAGTAGAGAAATAGGAGAGCCAAGGGGAGGCAGGCAGATAGAGAGGAGCCACGAAAGGGACAGAGGGGTAGACTGTGCCATGGAGCCCCACGCAGGAGGAGACATGAGTGGGAGACACTGGAGCACCAGGCAGGCCAGAGCGGGGTGCTGGGTGGCTCAGAGCTACAGGGAGCAGACCTGACTGTGGGGGCATCTCCTGGAAGTGGGCCCAGGTGTACCAACGTCACAGGTACTTCTGCTATCTGATGCAAGAGTGCTCGTGGAAAGAACACTGGATGGCCAGCTGGAAGTCCCCACTTCTAATCCCAGCTGAGTAGCCTTGAGCAGATCACTTCCTTTCTTGGGGCCCCATTTCTCTCGCAACCAATAGTACTGGCTGATTGTACAACTTCTTCTACGTCCACTTCTCTCGGTCTTCAAATCTATGGAGCCCTGAATGGTAGATGGTACGTGTGCACCTCTCTCTCCCCCGTGCCCACCAGGGGAGGAGGAGGAAACTTCTCTGCCCCACCAGCATTTTGATGTAGGGCTTGGTGGTGACTTGCATTGGCCAACACTTGTGGGCAGTGTGCCATCCTGAGCAGAAGCTTTGAGAAGCATTGGACGTTCCAACAGCCCTCTTGTGTTCCTGCACTCGGCTAGGAGAAGAAGACAGCCCCATAGTCCCTGCTCCTTTAGTATGAGTCTCAACATGAAGAGACATCAGAGCAGGCCCAAACCCAATGCACAGTCAGAAGCTAAGCTCAGCCAAGCCAGCAGAGCCACAGCCATCTCGCCAACCCCATGAATGGGTAAGAAATGCTTGTTATAAGGCCCTGCAATTTTGGAGTTGTTTGTTACTGCAGCCAAAGCTGACTCATACACCATGTGACAGGAAAGCATGTCTCATAGAAGCTCACATCAGGGACACGTCAAAAGCCTGCCTGAAGGAGAACGAAGGGCAGCTAGAGGGGCCCCTACAGGAAGGCCCTCCACTGCCTTCCCTTCCATGCCAGAGCCCTATACCTCCATATGGAGACACACCTGGTTTCTGGCATCGGCAACCCAAGCCTCAGCAGGAGTAGGAAGAGAGTTTTGTGGCAGGGGGAACTAAATTAGACTGCCTCAAAGTCAAATTCCTCCCATTTACAGTCCTCTCTCTTCCCCATCCTCCAAACCTGGGCAGTCTGTTTCTTTCACTGCCTACGTGCTATAATTAAAAGTCTCTTGAATTGGGGGTTGGTGTATTGGTTTACCTAGGATGGAGAGGCAGCAAATGCTTAGACAAGTTTATAAGCTCCAGCATCCCTGGTCTCTGGCTACTGTCATCAGTATGCAAGTCTCCGATGTCTCTGATTCTAATAGTAAAGGACCCCAAGAGAAACTCACATTAATATCATCCCAGCCAAATTCTAGCTACTACATGCTTTTCTGTCCAATGGAGCAATGGAGCATATTTGCTATAATATACAAATGAATGCCCAGAGAAGACAGCTGTAGAACCCTAATACTGTAGCATCATGGCCTGCATGCATCATGGAAGGTTCTGGTTAGGATGTGTAACCAGTGCTTCCGCATGCATCAGGTCACTCAGAGAAACCCAGGACCATCCCCCGCCTCCTCAGTTACTCGGACAAAGACCTCAGAGTTGACAGCCACAGTCATATTTTGGGGACAAACAGAAAGACCCAACCCTCCACCAACCAACCTAACATGATGGAAGAGAGGGGAATGTAGATTTGGGAATGGGATAAGCAGGAACTCAAGTGGTGGGTCTCCAACTTTTTCCTAAAACACCAAAGCCTTTTACATAGAATCTTACCTGGAACAAAAACATATGTAAACACATAATAGTATAGAAGCTCAGGGTGAAGAGTCAGAGCCTGTCTGGGCATCATTTCCCCCTCCTGAGGTGGCTCCTGAGACTCATCATGGAACCCCAGGGCTGCATACAATGTGGAAATCACTGGGCTAGAGAAATCCTGAGCATTGGAACTGGCTTATGGAAAGCTGGAAAAGGGGGCAGCAGATATCCTCGATGCTGTCTCTGGGCATTTGGCTGTGAAGAAAATGGGATTAAATGTACAGGCATCCCTTGTTTGGGCTTGGCAGCCTTGGGGTACATAACAGAGAAGAAGCTTTCCCCATCCTGCTGGAGGCAGATAGACGGACCGACCGACCTTTCTCAACTCTTCTTCGTGGCAAGCCTCTTTATCCTCATCTTCCACCAGGCAAGACAGATTTGCTTGGGGAAAGAATTTAGAGCTTCCTTCTTTTCCCTGCTTCCCAGTCCTCCCCGCTCACTCCTCACATCTAAGCCACTGGCCCCTCCTGAGCTCACAGGTTTCAAGGCTGCTTCCTTCTCTGCTTCGACATTCCAGAGGGTGGGATCCTGAGGGATTTGTCTAACTCAGCGGAAATGTGGCTTCCCCACTTCCCACAGAGACAAGCCCCCAGGCCTACCTATGCACACCACGTCCATGAAGCCATACATCCCGTAGCAGATCTGGAAGAGGAGGTCTTGGCGCTGCCACTTTGCCGAGGGACTGAAGGTCGACCAGATGAGCCACGAGATGCTGGCGATGAGGAAGAGGGAACCCAAGATGGCGGCTGCGATCTGAACCTTCTCAATGACTGTCAGAGAGATGGCCTGCCACTGCGGAGGCGAGAATGGTAGGTTAGTTGTTGCTTAGATGCCCTCACCGCATTGCCATCCTATTCTCATCCCTCTTTCTTCTGTTGCCCCAACCTCTCCCCTCTGGCTTAGGATTTAAACCAGGGCTTTCCAACCAGGAATACAATGGATACCTTTGCAAGTTTCTGAGTTTTATATTGTACTTTTGATGTGGAGGAAACCTATATTACACCAAATGATCAAAAGTCATTGTAGGGAGGGGATTCTGGGCAGGCATGGCTGGGAGGGAAGGATGGCCTTTATACCTGATTATGTTACAGACAGAAATGGGAAGGAGAAAGCAAAAATGCAGAGCTGGTGTGGGTGGTGTTCAGGGCCCAGAATATTCTTTTCAGAGCAACATTGTTTATTTTCACACTAATGGGTGCTGAGAAGGCACAGGCCTTTTTTGTTGTTTTTTTTTGTTTTTGGGGTTTTCTTTTTTACTTGTTTTCTACAACACCTGGCATGCCATTTAATATACATGCTAGAGATTACCAATTCGACAGACAAGGAGAGGACACAGGATGTGGGGGAGAGATAAGAAAAACAGTATAATTTACTGGCTCTGTAGGAACACTGAGATTTCTCTTTTTTTAAGAGAAAAAGTATTATACTAATAGCAGTATTGATGGATGAGTTGAAGGCTAAACTGTGAGCGAGTTTCAGCTCTGAAATTCTACTAGTCTCAGTAGCAAAGGCCTAAATGAGCCTGGAGTTGGATTTTAGTTTGAGATTTATTCATGCTGCCACTCAACAAATATGTACTGAGTATTCTCTGTGTGCCAGCCACTCGGCTAGGTGCCAAAGATAAAGTAGTAAGCAAACATATACACGATTTCTGTTCTCGTGGAGCATACAATGTAGAAAACACAGACAACCAAATAATTATTTACAATTGCAGTTCATCAGGATTAAGAGAGGGAGGTTCATAGCACTGTGAGAACCTATGATGGGGGATTTGACTTCCCAGAAGCGATGCTTAAAGTTAGTAGGCGTTTACTAGGCAAAGAGAGGAGGAGAGAGTGCTCCGGGCAAAGGGAAGAGCTCGTGCAAAGGCCCTGGGACAGAAGAAAGCATGAGTATGAAAGCCTGGAAGAAGACCAGAGTGGGTAGGGCAGAGAGAGAGAAAGGAGTGTGGGGTGAGACAGCAGGAAAAGTAAGAAGCGAAGATCACGTGGAACCTTGAAGAACAGGCACAGATGTTTGACTTTGTCCTAAGAGTAAACAGGATGATATTGCACAGTGTTAAGCAGGGAAGTTGAGCAGTGTTACTGGGATCAGATTTAGGAAGGTGGAGGGAAGGACAGTGTCCTGATTGTAGGAATTTGCATTAACGCCTCGCAGAGAACACCCCCAGAAGGCAATCAGCCAGAACTGGAGGAAGAACTCATGCCTCCCACCCGCCAATCGTGAGCACTCACTATGTGTTAAGTGGCCTGGATGGGAGCACTGATTCTGGCTCCAGCTGGACTGACCAGTGGCCCCCAAGGAATTGTACCATTGGAAAACATTTCGCTTCCTAGTCTAGATGTAGGACATCAGCTTATGCATTTAGTTATGCAGATAGTGTCCCATTACAGGTAATTGGGCCTTTGAATTTTCCATGACTTCCCCCAGCCTAGGGTTACCCATAACAAGGAAATTTTCCAGAAGATGGCCTGATCCTATAGCCTTCGCTCATGTACAACAAATGCTTTTTCCAGAGCCCGCCCCACTGTCTGTGAAAAGGCTTCCTGACTGAACTTTTTGTTTCTACCATTAAGTCATCAAGAACGCTCACCTTTTCCTGCTCCAGACTTCAAAGATCCCAAAGAGAGAGGCCCAGAAAGGGTCCCTTAATCTCTAATGCTCCCCAAGCCACCTGTGAACTTAACCAGGGTGCCTGACTACAGACAAAGCAAGATGAGAAAGGAGCAGGGTGGGGGTGCTATGGACAAGGCTCTCCTCCTGTCTGTCCCATATGAGGCTCTGTAACAAGTGTCAGGGGCAGAACTGCAGGAGAAAGCCCAGGACACATGACTCTGATGCCTCAAAGGGAGGCGGGGGAGGGGAGAAGGGCCCCCCAGGTGCCAGGCTCTGCCACCACCAGACGCCCGGAGCTTTGTTCTGAGCAAGGTACTGATTGCAGTGTGATGAGACTTCTCCAGGCCCTGACCTGTCCTGCAGCACCAGTGAGCACAGAGGCAAAGTGGGGAGAGCACGAAGCTTGGCTGCTTCCTTATAACAGTGAGGGCACTGAGCCCAGGGCCAGGTGACCCAGTTCCAGCTGAGGGCTGCTCCCACTGTCAGAGCGTGACCTAGGAGAAGTCAGTAAGCCATAAGGACTCTCAGGTTTCCCTTTTGCAAAAATGGGAATACTTGGTCCTTCCCCCTTCCCCAAGTGTTGCGGGGGTTAAATGAAATGACTCTTTAATCAGTGCTTTGCAGGGTATGGGCTGCCATCATTTCTCTTCTTCATTATGTTTCAGCAAAAATACAGTTATGCATGTCAAGGTGGGGTCTTCCTAAATGCACTCAGCAAATTCTGTGCTGTGCACTATGGGTTAGAGGTTAAAGGCCAGACTCAGGAATTAGATGCCTTGGAAGCAACCTTGCTCCACCAGGGTAACCTTGGGCTAACCCCTCTCTCCCTCCATCACTCATCTGTAAATCGGGACTAATAGTACCCTCTGCATTGGGTTGTTTTCAGTATTAAATAAGATACTATATGTGAATACTTAGACCAGTGACTGGCCCCCAGGAAGCACCAACTAAGCATTCAGTAATATACTGGGTCTTCGGAAAAGTCATGATGCATGTTTGCAACAGATGGCACTAGTTCATTTTTGGAAGTACTAGAGTCGTTCGCATCTATGTTTTTACTATGTTATATGACAGCTGACAGTTCTAGCTTCATTCTAAAAAAAATTGAGCTATTTGGTTGAGTTTTGGAGATTTTACAACAAGTTGAAGATGGGAGACTAAACTGCATTTTTGCCATATTTTACTGTTTTACTTCCATAAAGGGAAGAACACACATCAAGCTTGTGAAAAATTGCATCAAGTTTATGGTGACAATGCTCTACAAGAACGTCAGTGCCAACGATGGTTCATGAAATTCCATGCTGGTAATTTTGATCTCAATGACGCTCCTTGATCAGGGAGGCCCACTGAGGTTGATGATGACAAAATAAAGGCATTGATCGAGTCAAACCCACGTTATGCGACACAAGAGATTGCAGAAACATTGAACATCCATCATTCAAGCATTCACGACCACCTGAAGAAACTGGGATATGTAAGCAAGCTCGATATTTGGATTCCGCATGAACTCAAAGAAGTTCATTTGACAGCACATATAAACATCTGCAATATGCTCATTAAACGTGAAAAAAACGATCCTTTTTTGAAGCAACTGATAACTGGTGATGAGAACTGGATTGTTTACAACAATGTGGTATAATCTTGGTCCCAACGTGATGATTTGCCTCAAACAACATCGAAAGCAGACATTCATCAGAGGAAGATTATGCTCTCAGTGTGGTGGGATTTTAAAGGTGTTGTGTTTTTCGAGCTCCTACCAAGGAACCAAATAATCATTTCAAATGGGTACTGTTGGCATTTGGACAGTTTGAACGAATCCATCATCCAGGAACGTCCAGAGCTTGCTAATTGTAAAGGAGTTGTGTTCCATCGTGACAACGTGAGACCACACACAAGTTGGATCACTCATCAAAAATTATTAGAGCTTGGATGGGATGTGTTGCCACACCCACCATCCTCGCCTGACCTTGTACCGTCAGACTTCCACTTGTTTCACTCTCTTCAAAACTCCTTACATGGTATAACGTTCAATTCAGATGAGGCTGTAAATCAGCACCTTGTTCAGTTTTTCACAAATAAAGACAGGTCCTTCTATGAACGAGGAATTATGAAGCTCACTGAAAGATGTCAAAAGGTTATCAAACAAAATGGGTAATACCCTTGTATCATTGATTGATCTTTGTTCTTTATATAAATAAATGACCTTCAAAAAACATAGACAAAATACGTCATGACTTTTCCAAAGACCCACTAATTGCAGCTCAGGTGTAGCAGGGTGGGTAAGAGGCCACCACGGAGCCTGGAGACCACAGGGCTGCCCTGAAACTCTTCTCAGTGGCTCTTCTGCCAGAACCAGGGCTTGTAGAGGGTCACTGAGTTACTGTCCTGTTGTGACTGCTGTTTCTCACAACTTTGTATGGGGCATGAACCAAGAGGTGAGTGACCCCAGGAGTAGCCTCCCCACACTGAGCAGTGGTAGCCCCAGCACCCCAATCTGTGCCAAAGATGGTCCGGCGGGGCTGTGGGGCAGGAGTTGCCCAGGGCTGAGCAGGCAGCTGTCTCACACTTGGCTGGGCCTGAGGAGCACCAGACACACAACTGGGACAGTTTGGGCAACAACCACAGAACACTGCTGCTGGCCCAAACTAATTCTTTTTTCTGTGCCATCTGGAAAAGTGACATGGCGTTTACTAAGCACACACCATTGCATTTCCAGGAGCAACAGAATCACGGTAGTAACTATTGGGTTGTCAGAAAAGTCATGACGTATTTCTTTATCTTTTTCGTTGCAAAAATGCGTCATGACTTTTCCGACAACCCAATATAAATCCATAGTTACTGTCATTTGCTTACTGTACTTATGAGATGATAATAACCTTTTCTTTTCCTTATTTCCGCCACAGGAAAAAGTTATCCCTAAATGGTGTTTCATTTTACGAGTCAAAGGCCGATGCCTGTTTATGAGCCAGGGAGGTCCTCCGGGGGTGGGCCTATGGGTTTGGACTCTGACTCTTCTCCAAGGCTTGAGTCAGTTGAGAAGGAAGGCGAGGGTTAATGCACCCAGGGTGTGGAGCCCGCTGGCTCCGACACTACTATTTTAAGACACTGAAAGATTTGACATGAAAGATTAAAGATGGAGCCAGCCCAGGGAGAGGCACCTCTTATTCTGACCCCTTGGTCCACCATCAGGATGGCCGAGGTGCCTGAGGGGTTTAATGCCTCCTTCCAGAAAAAAAGTTCCCCTACCTCCCAGTCCACATGTATGCACTTCGTGTACACACACACACACACACACACACACACACACACACACACACACACACCACTCATTCCTGGTAGTGCTCCATGTAAAACCGCATAGAGTCTAAATTAAAACGCCCTGGACACCAGGTTTCCAGCTGCCCTCCATGTTAAAACCCCACTCCACCATCACCACCAAACCACCACCCTCCTGGGCTTGCAGGATCGACTCCCCCTCAGGGAGGCTGAACGAAACAACTGCGCAGGTGCAGGCCCCTGGCATTCCCATCCTCACTAGCCTGCTGGTTAATTGATTATGTGGCAACTTAATTGACTGACCACGCATATGCGGGGTATTTTCAGAAGCCAGGCACTTTCTACGTGTGTGCGCCTCACAGGGAGAGCTGTTTTGAGTTGGGAGGATTTCCCAGGTGGTGCAGGGCCTGCCAGCTCCTCTGGGATGATGAATGTGTCAGAGCAGAGAGGGGGCGGGACCCCCTAATCCAGCTCTACCTGAATCTGATTGGCAGACCCATCCCCAGCCCTGGCCCTCCCTGCCCCTGCGGGTCACAGTAGCCTCTTCATAATCTCTCCCCTTTTCTTATTGCCCACCCTTCACGTTTCCTCTGCTTCCCTCTCCTCTTTCCTCTCCATTTTTCTCTGGTCCCTTGTCACTAGAAGTGCGGTCCGTGGACCAGCAACATCCTCATCACCCGATAGCTTGTTAGACATGCAGACTCTTAGACCCCTCTCCAGACTCCTGAGTCATAGTTTGCAATTCGACAGGATTCCAGGGGAATTGCACGCACATGAAAGTGTGGGGAGTGTCCCTGAGTGTCCTCTCTCCTCATTTCCTCTTTCCCTGCCCTTGGCTTTTTATCTCAGGCTCCTCCTCACACACACACACACACACACACACACACACACACACACACACGCCCCTCGTCTTTTTTCCATCCTGTTCTCTTCTGCCCTCCGGTTTTTCTTTTCTTTTCCTCCCTCTCTCCCCTTTCTTCTTTCTTCCTTTTCCTTTTCTTGTCTTTTCCTTTCTGCTTCCTTCCATCTATCCGTCCGTCCATTCATCCATCCATCCATCCATCCATGCATCCATCCATCCATCCACTCTCTTATTCTCTCTTCCATCTGACTTCCCATATTTCTTCTCCCCATATATATTTTCTCGCTCTTCGCCCCATCCCCTTCTTCTCTTCTTGCTGAAGCTTAAGAGAAAACAGAGAAGTTCCTTCATTTCCTCCTGCCTCCATGCCATCTGAGGCCGTGCCCACCTAGCCCTCCTCAGTCCTTTTCTCCACACTGCCCTGGCTCTGGGGTGGAATCGTCCTCCTGCAGGAAAGCAGTGGGTGTGGGAAGCGCCGAGCCTCAGCGCCCCCAGCGCCCCCAGCCTCCCGGTCGTACCTGCAGAGGGTTCTTTGTGCTTATGGCGATGACATGGTACTTGTAGTAGCACAGCTCACAGCTCCAGCAGCCCCGCTCACTGATCCACTTGATGAGGCAAGGCTGGTGCGTGCACTTGACGGAGCCATCGCAGCGGCACGGGCTCAGCAGCTCCCCCTGCAGGGAGAGAGGCAGAGGGTGGTGAGGCCCAGAGTCTGGGGAGCGGGCAGGTGGCCCGCTGGGCCAGACCACGCCCCTCAGGCTAGGCCACAGGCTGTGTTGGAAAGCACCAGACCCCCAGAGGAGACCTGGGCTCCAGCACCCCTCCCACCTTTGGAACTAGGCGACTTCAGTGACGTCAACTAACAGTTCTGAGCTGGCTCCCCACTCAGTGCTGCCCAAGTCCCAGGGCTTCTGTGACAATGAGTGGGTTGATTTCTGTGGAAGTCCTCTGCCATCCAAAGGGGGTGTCAGCTTCTTACTGGCTTTTCTTTAATGGCTCAGCCAGGGGGTCTCAAACTCAACAATGCCCTCTGGGCCAGATAGGCAACACAAGTGACAGGAGCCAGCTGGTGGGGAATAGGACAAATTAGAGGGCCCAGACTCAAGTTAAAGGGACAGCCACCATCAGCTCCAGCCAGCTGTAGATGTGGGAACCTAGGTGGCAATTTTTATGTAAAACCTCCCAATAGTCAAATGTTAACAGCTGGAGAAGGTTTAAAAATATATTGTGAGGGCCAGTCGAGTGGCGCGATGGTTGAGAACTGGCTTGGGACACCAGAGGGCCCCGGTTCGGATCCCACATATGAGGGCCAGTGACACTGCCCTCCACTGGCGAAGGCGTAGGCTGCAGCCCCTGTGGCAGTGGGTTGCCATGGGCTACCGTGTGTAGCCAGCAGCCAGCGTGAGTGGCCACCAGCCGCAGTGAGCGGCCGTCCAGAAGCCAGTGACTGATCTGCCTCACCCAGAAAGAGCGCAATGATGGTGCCAACTTGGGCCAGTGAAACAACGTCCTCCACAACTAGACTGAAGAACAAAAGGACAGCAACTTGTCTGTTCCCCTTCCCCCAATTCCCCAGCACTGTTCCCATCCCCCCAATTCCCCAATAAAAATCTTTAAAAAAAATTTTATATATATATAGTGAGCGTCATTTTGCCTGAGCTCAGAGCTCTGGTCTTGAGCCTTTGCACTCAGCTGCTGCAGGCCAACTCATAAAGACCCAGGTCCCCTCTCCATCCGGGGTCCCAGAGCGACAAAAGCATGGCAGGTGGGGGCAGGCCTGAATCCATGGGACCTACGAGGTTGGGCCTGGCTCCTTCCCAGCAGCCTCGGGCCTTGCTAGGAGTGGCTGGGAAACCCAGTCTGAGAGAATAGGAGGTAGGGAGACAAAGGCCCCAATATCGAAAGGCCATCTTCACTATGGCTCTTGGCCCTTCCTGTGCCCCCGTTAGAGCATTTCCCCTGTTTGTCTCGGGGTCACTACACTGTGGCCCCTCACAGGGACAATCTTACTCATCTTTGTAGCCTTAGCACCTAGTACAGTGCCTGAAACAGACACCTCATCCACCTTCCGCAGTGCAATGCATACAGCTCTGTTTGATGAACAAGAGGTGGTGTTCCCCTCGGACCCGGCCATCCTCCTGCTCCAGGTGGGCAGCTGTAGCAGGAGAGGCCCACAGCGCTGGGCACTCACCTCTCCCATGAGGGTCTAAAGGCCCTTGGTATTGAGTAGCTGCTGCATGTGTCTGAGAAAAAAATAGGAGGGGCTGTGTGGGGAGAGGTGCTGGGGGAGAAGCAAAAGCCCTCATTATTCATGGCAGCATTTCCTAGGCTCATTAATTTTAACAGGACGAGCTGGGTTTGATTAATCGGGTTGTTAAGCAGCCATGTCAACTTGCCGAGCAGGTAAGAGACATTACTCCAGGTCCCCAGCAATGGTGCCAAGTGACAGTGAAGGCTGCACTCCTTGTTTCCCAAGCAGCAGCCACGAGACAGGACAGGAAGAGCTGGGATACAGTGATAATAAGACCTGGGCTTTCCATCCTGGCTCTGGAGGTGGGACCAGCAAGGCTCACTGGAGCCCCGCCTCCAGTCCCAACATACTTCTGAGAAGAGGGAGCATGGCCTGGCCTGGCCTGGTCCCAGTGCCCGGCTACGGAGCCAAGACACCAAAGGTGCGCTGCTTTCCCTGGAGCTCCTGGCCCCCCACTTTTTTTCCTTAGGACTGGACAACCCAAAGGCACCACAAATATTAGAAAGCAGGGACGCCAAAACTGTTAAGAGGTTAACTTTGATGAAGGAAGCAATCCAGAATTTTTTTTAAAAAGTAATAAATCTGCAAAGAAGCTAATTTAACATTGGCATTCATATAAGGTTTGTGTTTTATGGTTTAGTATATTTTTACGTACATTGGGAGGAGGGCCATAATCTTTTTTGTGTGTTTAGGGACTTCTGAGAGGCCTTCACCTGGACTCTTCATCACCGTCTTCAACTAGTCAGACCTGTGCTTCTTCAAGAACAAGAGAAAGGCAACGAGCCAGCAGCCAGAAGGATCCAGGTTAGACTTAATGATGTTCTCTGCAGGAAACTCTGTCAAAGGCTAAAATGGTGGAGCATGGAAACTGAGTTGCTAAACGTCTCTCAGTATAAGAGAGAACCCCATTGAAGGGAAAGGTTAATTGACCAATCTAAAGTCACTCAGCCAGCCAGTGGCGTGACCAGAATGTAAAGCCAGGTCTTTCTGACGGCAGACTCGGAGCTCTCGCCACACCACTCTGCTCATCCCACGTCTGCCCCCTGCTCCTGCTGTAGAGCCCACACCTGTGTGCGTGGATCTCTTGTCTGTCTCTCCCTGGCCCAGCTCCACCAAGATACAGATCTGTCTCCTCTCCAGAATTGTCATCCACAGTTTGGCACCTAATGGCTCTCTAATTGTTTCCTCCGGGATTTGGGCGCACAATGAAGGCATGTTTACTGACCGGACAGGCACCAGGGTTTGGGAGAGACAGAGCCCCTCTGGCCCAGCTTCTAAGGCTCTAGCCTTTGGGTTGGGAGGTTTATTATGATCTTGTCTGTGGAGCTCAGCAAACTCCACAGATCAAAGGGGCTTAGTAAGTGCAAACACTTCCTCAGCCATCTGCTTGGATCTTTGGGGCCCAGAGACTGCCCTGGGAATGACTAAGGTGAGAAAAATAGGATCTTCTCTAATACCCTGGTCCCCCATGGGACACAGTGTGGGGGAGGTGGGAAGAACATGGTTTTTGGAAACGAACTCCTTAGGTTTGAATGCCTCTTCACCGCTTACCAGCTGTGCAAGCTTGGGCAAGTCTCTTACCCTCTATGAGGCTCTGTTTCTTCATCTTTCTGTTGTGGGCAACTCTTACCTCTCCAAGGGTGGCTGGAAGGACGGAGTGAGAGCATGCCCACAAGATGCTAGACGCAGTGCCTGGCACAAGTAAGCCCTCTTGTGAAAGCGTTACAATTCTAACTGGCGTTTCCATAAGGACTTGAATCTCACAGTGTTTCCTACTATAGCTCTATTTGATTCTCCTTTGATCAAACAGGTAAGGAAGGGAGCCATGCCCTGAGGAAGGGTCAGCTGAGCCCCAGAGAGAGGTTGAGATTAAAGAACTGCCTGAAAGTATGTCCGAGGTGAACCTGAGGTCAGAACACGCATCTCCTGACCTCGGGCCCAGGACTGTCTGCTGTGTTACTCTGGGATCACCGAGAGCATTTAGGGACCCCCTTCTCTGGGGGTGCTGAACAGAGACGCACGGGCCTCCTGGATGGGCTTAGCGGGGTCATGCTAGATGCAGGAGGCAGGACAAGGAGACCCACTGCCCTTAGGTGTGGCTGAGCTGGTGGGTAGAGAGAGAACAGGATGGCATCTCCTTGCTGCCAATGACCCAGCAAGCCGCAGGCGCAAGACTCCAGTTCCTCCATTCACATATTTCTTTCTGTTTGTTTTGGGCTTGCTTCATTTTTCCCCCTCTCCATCTCAAAGGACCCCCTTCTGGAGTCCTGAGGGTACCCGATAGCCTTGGCAGTCCTGTTTCACCCACACAGGCAGAGGCACCCCCACAACTGAGCAGAAGGAAACAAATAGAATCTAGTGAAGCAAACCAGCCTTGCCCCCCTGCAGCGTGCAGCTCTGGGAGATCAAAACAAAGGAGACGATAGAAACGCCAGCCTTGGGGGCCTCTTCCTTTACTGAGACTAATGTGGTGATTAAGAGCTTGGGGTCTAATCCCAGACAGACTCCAGTGTATCCAGGCCCTTACAATCTATGTGCCCCTGGGCAAGTTGCTTAACCTGCCTGGGTCTCATTCAGTCATTCCCTTATTCATTAAATATTCACCTCATATGTTCCAAGTTCTGTTCTAGGTGACAGGGATAAGCAGTGAATGGAACTAACCAAAGAGAGACAGACAACAAAAACGATAAATAAATAAATAAACTATACATCCCTAAGAGACTGTTATGTGCTACGAAGGAAAGTAAGCAGGGAAAGGGGAAATGGAATATACCAGGGAGGGAGCAGGTTGAAATCTTAAATAGGGTGACTACGGAAGGCTTCGCCAAATAGGGACATCTGAGTGAAGACCCAAGGAAGGTCAGGCAGCAAGCCATGCACATGTCGGGGGACTGAGCCTTCCAGGCTAAGGGAACATCAAGTGCAGTGGCCCCGAGGCAGAAGCATGCCGGGCATGTCCCACAGACACTAAAGAGGCTGGCGTTTCTGGGGTAGGAGATGACGTCACAGATATAATGGGGATCAAAAATGGGGCGGAAAGGGGGTTGGCGGCAGCCAGTTAGCTCAGTTGGTTAGAGCGCAGTGCTCATAACACCAAGGTTGACGGTTCGATCCCCACATGGGCCACTGAGTTGTGCCCTCCACAATTAGATTGAAGCAACCACTTGACTTGGAGCTGATGGGTCCTGGAAAAACACACTGTTCCCCAATAAAAAAACAATTAAAAAAAAAGAATGGGGTGGGGGGCACCAATCAAGCAAAGCTTGTGGGCCATTTTAAAGACTTGGCATTTGTTATGAATGAGATGGGAAATCATGAGAGCGTTTTCAGCCGAGGAAGTGACATGATCTGACCCTGTCGGACAGGATCACTCTGGCTGCTGTATTGAAAGTAGATTAGAAGGAAGTAAGGGCTGAGTAGGGG